CAGATTGCACGGTCCGCAGCTTGTTGTGTGTGTGTGTGTGTGTGTACTTGTGTGCGCGTATGTGTGGGTGTGTTGACTTTTCAATGGGTGCGCTTGTGTGTCATTTCGTGGCTCTCATCGCATGCCGCCCTGCTGCTCATGCCCCCCCCCCCATCGTCACCATCGTGTGCGTTGCCACAATTCCTGCCCATCACCTTTGCACATGTCCAGGGGTATGAACTATCTGCACAACGAGCGCAGTCTCGCCCGCGTCATCCACCGCGATCTCAAGTCAAGCAACATCCTCCTGGCAAAGGTGCAGCCGTATGTATGCTTGTGTGTGTGTGTGTGTGTGTGTGTGTGTGTATGTGTGTGTGAACTTTGCACGCTCTTCCCGACCATACTGCCACGAAACGCCCATTCCCGATTCACCATTTCTTCCTCTTCCTCTCACACTCGTGTCTGGGTTGCTGCCATCATGCTCCCCACTGGTTCACGCCACAGGTTGATGACCAAGGACACCCCGTGTTACGCAATAATATTGTGAAGATTGCAGACTTCGGCCTGGCCAGGCACTTTGTGGAGACGACGGAGATGACAACAGCAGGAACTTTCGCGTGGATGGTGCGTGTTCGCGTGTTTGTGTCTGCTTGTCAGCGTCTGACATTGTGGGTGCATGACATCAACTATCAAGCATCACATGCAATCACTCACGCACGACCGCCACATACTACCACCATCGCCACCCTCTGTCGCCATCGCTATCATTTGTCATCACCGCCACGATGAAGGCGCCCGAAGTGATTCGATCGAGCACATTTTCCCGCGGATCAGACGTCTGGTGAGACGCACCGTGCACACACACACACACACACACACACACACACACACACACACACACACACACACCATTGTTCTGTTCATGTGTATGTGTGTGGGTGTGTGTTTATGTCTGTGTCTGTGTAAATACATTATGTGCCCTTGCTTGATAGTGCCATGCACCTAAACTCACACCATGGCATGGCATCACCCTGCATTACAACTACAACCTCAGGTCGTTTGGCGTTCTGCTGTGGGAGATGCTGACGTCGCAGGTCCCATACGAGGGCATCAACATGTACTCTGGTGCGTTTGAGCGGCACGCGAGCAGCCTGGTGTTTTCGCTGCGTCTTCCTCTTCTTCAATACGGGAATGTGGCACACACACACACACACACGCACACACACACACACGCACACACACACACACACACACACACACACACACACGCACACACACACACACGCACACACATTATTGACGCATCACATGCTCCCCTGTCACCACCGGTTGTGCGTGCAGTTGCGTACTCGGTTGCGCTGAAAGGATGCACGCTGCCCATCCCGGCCACGTGTCCGCAGGACATTTCATCCATCCTCACCCGCTGCTGGCAGATCCAGCCAAAGCACAGGCCTGGCTTCCAAGGTACGGGATGTGCATGTGCGTGCGTGTGTGTTGATATGTGTGTGCGTGCGTGTGTTCATATGTACGTGTGTATGTGCGTGCGTGTGCGTGTGTGTATGCGTGTGTGTGCGGTGGTGTTTGAAGCTATTGTGTCTCCATCCACCTCTCATCACCCAAACCACACCTCCACCACCAATCCACGGCCACCACCAGAGCTGCTGCACGAGTTGGGCGGGCTGCGGTCGTCCGCGTTCTCCCGCACAAACACGGCCGATTTCTTTGACCTGCAGGCTGCGTGGCGTGATGAGTGCACGCGCACATTCAGGGAACTCAGGAGAACAGAGAAGGTGGGTGATGGGTGCGTTATGTGTGTGTGTGTGTGTATTTGAATGCTTCGCGTGTGATCGCTCAGGTTTCTCCTCCCAGTCTGTGCCCTCAATCCACGCACACGCACACACACACGCACATGCAGGAGATTGAGGAGCAGCAGCGCGAGTTGCATCAGCTACAGGAACAACAGACGTTGAAGCAAAAGGTCAGCGTTGGAAGTACCATGTCGCCTTGCATATGTGAAGCCATTTCACACACACACACACACACACACACACACACACACACACACACACACACACACACGCACACACACGCACACACATACACACACACACACACACACACACAACCGTGTCGGGTCTCAGTTCCATTCACACCCTCACTTTGAAAGCCTCACCCTACTACGACGACCACCGCCGCCCCCACCTCAACACCTCAGGAGCTTGAGGACAAAGAGCAGGCGTTACAGCGGCGGGAGCGGGAGGTGGAGATGCACGAACGGCTCTACAAGAGCCTGGCCAGCCTGGTGTGTTAGCTGGCACTTGGCTTGTTACATATGCGTGCAATGCTCTCATGCTTGTTTCAGTTCTGTGTTTCTGTTGGTCTTTCGTCCTTTGTTCCCCGCGCACACCACTACTCATCACCACACGCCACCATCACCAACACCGTCACCAACACCAACACCCACCATCCTGATACCCCATGAACCCCCCCTCCCCTAACACCCTTCCCCATCCACATCATCGTTGCGTTTCAGCCGCGCACGGGGCCGACGAGTCCCCCTGGCCGCCGGCGCCCAAAACACATCTCCAAGGACAGCATATCGGAGCCTACCGGATTCAGGTACCTTCCCTCTTACAACGACGTCCCTCCAAACACCATCTCCCTCAAGGAAGCAAGCGCCAAGTTTGGTGCGTTTCATGTGGCATGACATGGCACACATATGTGCTCGATGCATGCTTTCGTCTTTGGCGTCCGGTTCACCTGTTCGCGTCCATCAGCCCTCGGCTCTGCCAACTCGCAACCACACACGCGCGTGTCTTGGCTTATCGTTGACTTGTTCCTCGCTTCTGTCATTCTGACACCTTTGGCTTCTGTTTTGCCTGCAGGCAATCCGCCGTCACCGCCGAGCGTGCAGTCGCCACCCGATGAGCGGGGCGACCCTCGCCTCGTGCTTGACAGCATCTTCAGCTCCGCGGCGCCACCAGCACCGGACCAGACGTCCACTACCATGACGCAATCCTTGACGGGCAGCGCACACGCCGGTTACAGCAGCGCCGCCAGCAGTCACAGCAACAGCGCGCACTCGTTATTTGCACCCGCACCAGCTACCCCCGGAACCCGCGCGTCCACAACAACAACAACAACAGCAGCAGCAGCAGCAGCAGCACACACCTCGCCAGGCAGTGGTGGCGTGTCTGCTTCCCCCTCGCTTGCAAGCACACGCCGTGCGTCTGCGTTTCGCAAGGCGAGCAGCGACCCAAAGCCTGTGACGACTGTGAGTCGCACACGCAAGGACTCGAAGCGAAAGATTCTATTTCGAGGCCGTCTGTTTGGACGGCGCTCAACCATCGAAAGGTGTGACGCTCCTGATGGGGGGGAATTGGGGGGGGGGCTTGGGTGGCGGTGTTGTGGTAACTGGTTGCTGGTAGTGGTGGTGTTGCAATGGTGTGCTGTTTTCATTTCGTGCTTGGCGTTGTCCGTGTGTTCTCATTCCATCTTTGGCTGGCTGCTCACTCTCCCTGTCTCATCCATCGTGCTTGGGTCGTGCTGTGTCGGTCAGTGAGCATCCGCAGATCAGCCGCCCCGACATCGCCGTTCACCTCGCGTCCGGCGCCGTCGAGGTGTGCAGTGTGTGCGATATGTGTGTGTACTTGTGTGTACTTGTGTGTGAGTGTGTGTGTGTGTGTATGTGTGCGTGTGTGTGTGTGTACGTATGCACCGCTGTGCACCTTTTTTTTCTTGTTTGAGGTCTTCAATGCGGAAAGCCAGGCATCATTTCACCCACGTCATTGCGCGCCAATACACGTCGCCACCACGAACAGGCGGGCCTACAAGTGCCGGAGTGGCTGAAGTTGTCGCTGTCGCCCGAAGAAGCGGAGAAAGAACTTCGCGACAAGCCCATCGGCTCCTTCAACGTCTCCCGCAGAATGTATTTATGTGTGCATGCGTGCGCATGCGTGTGCATGTGCATGTGTATGTTTGTGTATGTTTGTGTATGTTTGTGTGTGTGTGTGTTTGTTTGTGCGCGCGTGTGTGTGTGCGTGAACCTTTGATGACACTCATTCAAGCTCACAACAAATGTGCACGTGTGCGCTATTTTGCTTGCTTGCATGCACCACTAGCGGGGACAGCCGATCGCGCCTGCTGCTCACTGTCAAGCTCGGACCAACCGACCTGTTTCAGGACATCATCTACATCCTCCACGGTGTGTGTGTGTGTGTGTGTGTGTGTGTGTGTGTGTGTGTGTGTGTGTGTGTGTGTGTTACTGTCTACCCCCCTGTGTCTTCCTTTCCTGTGTCTTCCTTTCCTGTGTCTTCCTTTCCTGTGTCTTCCTTTCCTGTGTCTTCCTTGCTCCAGCCCTCTTCTCATGTCGTGTTGTTTTTCACTCGCTGTCACCCACATCTCACATACCTCTTGACCCCTACTCTCACCATCACCCAATCATCCCACTTCCTCCTCCTTCTCCGTGGAATGTTGTCGTCCAACACCAACACCAGATGGGTTCCAGCTCGGCGAGCAAGCGCGCATCCGCCACCGCAGCCTCAAGGACCTCATAAGGCACTACCAGACGTTCCCGTATGTGAAGCTGGACGGCACGTACCATCGCCTGCGTGCATCGCCACCGCCATCGCGCCCCGCTGAGCTGCAGCGGCACGTGAGCGGCTCGCACCTCCCCGATCACATGCACACGCTGCACGGTGGTGCATCCTACGCCAACGCACCGGCGACAACAGCCCCATATGCGACAACAGCCGCAATGAACAGGTCACGTGGACACGGTGGTGGTGGAGATGCAAGTGCGGCGAGGCAGCGGGGTGCTGTGTTGCATGATCTTGTGGAGGAGATTGTGTTTCCTCGACACCTCAACCGCCCTCGCAGTGCATCCGAATCACAGCTGCTGGTACGTTGTGTGCATGTGCTTGAGTACGTTGTGTGGTTGCATGTGTGTGCCCTTGCGTGGTGTGTGTTAGACGTTTGTTTTGTGTGTTGGACGTTTGTGTTGCTGTGGCAGTGGTGCACCATTATTGTATTCGCTTCATGTTACCTGAACACACCCACGTTCACCCACCCACACCCACACACACACACACACACACACACACACACGCACACACGCACACACACACACACACACACACACACACACACACACACACACACACACACACACACACACACACACACAGGTGATGGAAGACACGTGCAGCGTTGCTGATCTGATGGTCACGGCTGACCTCGAGCGGTCAACGTCAATGGAATCACTGCTCAACGTGCTGCCCCATGGTAGCAGCCATCGTGACGGCGGTTATGGCGACGAAAACCCACGCCTGACCTCGTCGCAGCCGTCAAGCCACAGTCTCGACAGCCCCGCACACACCGACATCGGTCAGCAACAACAACGACAGCAGCAGCAGCAGCAGCAGCAGCAGACTCAGCAATCGCCCACAGCACCGTACGCTGCACGGCAGCAAGCGTTTGTACCCCACCGTGCGGCACCACCACCTCCTTCCCACCACCACTACCAACACCACCACCACCAACACCAACACCAACACCGACATCACCACCCACAGCAACAAGATCACCAGCGTCCGCGCGCTGCGACGGCGACTGCGACGATGACGGTGGTCGGCAGCGGCGCCAGCAGCGTGAGCGACGACGCTTCATCGTGCCACAACACCAGGCATGTTGATCCCAGTCACCACCACGCGAGCCACCACGACCCGCACCATCCCACGCCGCCGCCCCGAAGCCGGCACTCGCAGCAGCGGGGGCGTGCTGCCACGACGGCAGCGATGATGGGGGAGGGCCACGCGCCGTCACCAGCGCTGCCAAACCTCTTCTCGCAGTACAGCGGGTCGTCATCGTCGCTTATGGACGAGCCCCACGCGCGTGCAGAGTCGTTTTCACCGCACAACCCGTTTCGCTCCCTTATTGACGAGGAGGCGCCCGTGCAGCCGCTCTCAATATCGCAACCGCCACTACCGCAGCAGCAGTCGCCACAGCAGCAGGAACTTGGCCAGCAGCACCACACACACCCTTCCTCATCCTCCTCATGCTGATCACTGCCTTGTGTGTGTGTGTGTGTGTGTGTGTGTGTGGTGTATGTGTGTGTGTGTGTGTGTGTGTGTGTACATGCACGCGCCAGGCGAATCGGCTGGCGTTAAGCGACACGATAAAATGTAAACAAATCCATTGCTTTCACATTTTGTGCGACGGGAACCCGAAGAAGACGAGAACGCAAAAAAGGACTGCACTTCTTGCTTTGTCTGCTGCGGTGCTGCCGCTGTTGCTGTCCACTTTCCTTGCTGACTTGTTGCCTGTGCCTGCCAACCACACACACATACACCACACTCGATCCATCCACCCTGCCAACCATCCCTGCCTACCCATCTTTCCATCCCCCAGTTTGCCATGTCTGAGGACGCTGGTAGGATCGCCGAAGGCATCACCGTCACTGTGTGTGGCGGCGGCAACGCTGCGCACATTGCGGCTGGCATGTTTGCGTCGCGTGGAGCGACGGTGAACCTGTTCTTCTCGTTCAAGGATGAGGCGGAGCGCTTCAAGGCCGCATGCGACAAGGCCGGCGGCGTCACTGTCACGCGCAAAGACAAGACCTACTTTGGACAGCCAAAGGTGTGTGTGTGAGTGAGTGAGTGAGTGAGTGAGTGAGTGAGTGAGTGAGTGAGTGAGTGAGTGAGTGAGTGAGTGAGTGAGTGAGTGAGTGAGTGAGTGAGTGAGTGAGTGTGAGCCAGTGTGTCTGTGTGAAAGTGGGCGAGCGTGCATGCAACCATGTGTGTGTGTGTGAGTGTGAGAGGGTGTGTGAGAGAGAGTGTGTGTGTGTATGTGTGTGTGTGTGTGTGGAAGTGCATGCGAGCATGTGCCACCAGTCTCCCCCCCCCCCTGGTGCGTGCCATTTTGATCAAATGCCCGCGATACACGCTCACATGCTCGCCTCCCCCCCCCCCCCAACACACACCCACGAAAAGGTCATTTCGCACGACCCTGCGGAGTGCATCCCGATGACAGACATTGTGCTGCTGATTGTGCCTGCGTTTGCGCACGAGCCCATCCTGCAGCAGATCAAGCCGCACCTCAAGGATGGCGCTGCTGTTGGCGCCATCCCTGGACCAGGCGCCTTTGACCTCGTCGCCCTCAACGCCCTCGGCGACGTCTTCACGCAGAAGGTGCGGTTCCATTTGGGTTGTGTGTGTGCGCGCGTTTGCGTGCGTGTGCGTACGTGCATATGTGCGTGTTCGTTTGCGTTTGCGTGCATGTGTGTGTGTGTGTGTGTGTTCGTTTGCGTTTGTGAATGTGCAGTTCTAACACTCTGTCACTGCTTGAATGACTCGCTCACTCACTGACTCGGACACACACACGTACACACACACACGTGTACACACATGCTGTCTCTGCGTCTTGTATTGCAGAACATCACGCTGTTTGCTGGCACGTCGCTTCCCTGGGCCTGCCGCTTTGATGAATATGGTGCAAAGGCCACCTTGCTCGGCGTCAAGACCAAGGTCGACATTACCACCCGCCCCAACAACGACGCCAAGCGCAACGCGGTGAGCTGCAACAATCCTGGCCCTGTTCCGTGTGTTGTGTGTTGTGTCTGTTTGGTTGCCCATGTCACCTACTATCGTCTTTCGCTGGTGTTTCCCTGCCCGTCTCACCCTCTTTCCCCTTCCAACCCCCCCCCCCCCGACAATGTGCGGGATAGTAAATTATATTTTTTGTTGGAATTCGGATGTGAATTACTGGTGAAATGTTCATTTGTATCTCTTTTTCGTGTTTGTCGTCATGCTATTAATAACGCATCAAGTGCGGAAAGTAGACAGTCAGGATCCCGAGAGTCTGCAAGAGGCCGCGCCGGAGCGATGCAGCGCCGGTCGCTCACGTCGAGTAGATATACATAACAAGAAGTAGATGTATAAACAGTGATAATATAGCATATCAATATAAACAGTAGACGGTGCACACACACACGGAATGAGTGTAACTCGTCATCTCGACGTTCTACAGCCTGTACATGGAAGAGCGGGAGGCGGGGAGACATGGGGGCGGGAGAAACTAGCCTCGAGCAGAGATTGCCTGGCAGGGAGGGGAGAGGAGGCGGGGTAGTGCTAGATGAGTGGGGGCGGGATGTCGGTCGGGTCGCCTTTTGTTTGGATGCGTTAACCAACATTCCGCAACGAGG